CGTGAGTGTTTTTCCTTTTCTTTTCCCTTGACCTATTCCTCTGCATTCCTGATGGATTGGCTAGTTGTCGGAATGACTGACTTTTGCTGCCGTAGTGTCGAGAGCAGTGGTGAACTGCAGTCGTAGATTTCTTTTTCTTTTTTCACCTTTCTTAATCTTTACTTTGCTTTTGTTTCACTTAGAACCTGAGGGAGTGATTGATTGTGATTCGAAATGAAATAAGACAAAACCGGATTTCGGGGTTTTTTCTTCATATATTTAATTTGTGCATGCCAGGGGTTTTCGATCCGTTTGATGTGAGTACCGTAGATGTGAATACCGCAAAATTTCTGTGGGCGTGATACGGCATCAAGGAATGTGGGTCTGTACATGGGGTAATTCTTCGGATTCGAGTCATCGCATGGCGCGCAAGATTCTGGGAGCGGCACGGGATCGAGTGTTCGTACCGGGAGCTTATTGCCTCTATTCCGTCTGCTGCGCGACATTGCAAACCCCTAATTACACTGAGCGAGAAAGCTACATAATTATACAAGATACCCCCTCCCCTATCCATCTATCCATCCATCCGCCCATTCACTCCCCATCTCGCCTCGCCTCACGACCTTCTCTTCCCCCCAACCTTCCTCTCACCTGCCACCTCCAACCTCCTCCTCGCCGCACCGACCGCAGCCCTGGGCAACCAAACCCTCGAAGCAAGCACGATAGCGCCAGTCAACAACGCCAAGCTTCCCGCCTGATGCGTGGCCGCTAGATGCGTAGGGACCATGTACACCAGCGTCCCAACACCCAACAAAACCTGCAAGATGGCCAAATGCATGACTCCCGTAATCCCCCTTTTCCCATTTTTGGTGAGCGCCCTAGCAATGCCAGGGTTCAGTCTAGAGTAAGCAAACACCGCGGTAATGAAGGAGAAGGTGGATATGGCAAGACACCGGTGGTCGAATTGCACGGTTGTGGGGTTCTCCAGCATGTTGCGCCACCACAGGTCCGAGTGATCCGGATGTCGGGCGTAGAATGGGTCCATGAGTTCCGTCAGCGGGGGAATGTACCCGTTGCCCATTTTTGGGAATTCGTTGTAAATAAGGCCTGCATCCAAACCGGCCACCAGACCGCCGGACATGGCGGTTGCGAACACTAGTACGCTAATCACACCTACCAGACGGCGGAACGGGCGCAGCACGGGGTTGGATAGCGTGTTGTATTCGTTAATCGCGGCTTTTGGGTCCGGTAGCACGAGGCGGTTCTCGCGGAGCACGGACAGCCCGTTCCATAGCATTGTCGCGTACACCGCGAACGCGCCCCCCAGGTGTGCCGTTAAGCGGTACTGGCTGACGCGCGGGTGCGCTCCCGGTTGCTGAAACAGGTCGTCCTTAAGGCCCGATTTTACCATCCACCACCCTATCCCGCCCTCCAGGGCTATCAGCCCGGATATGCCGCCCAGGCGGAGCGCCATGCGCCGGGTTACACGCCCCCGCGCGACGAAGTAGGCTGCTGGTAGGACAAAGGAGAGGCCAATCATTCGCCCAAGAAGCCGGTGGGTCCATTCCATGTAATAAATGAATTTGTATTCATCCAGACTCATGTTTGGTTTTAGGATGCGGTATTCGGGGGTGTTGCGGTATTTGCTGAAGTCGGATTCCCAGTCTTCGAGGGAGAGGGGGGGGAGGGTGCCCGTTATTGGTTTCCATTCTGTTATGCTTAGGCTGGGGGGGTTGTTAGTGAGGGGTGTTAAAAGCTGTAGAATGCGGGAGGGAGGGGGTACCCGGACTCGGTCAGCCGAGTAAGTCCGCCCAGGACTACAATGCCAAAGACTAATCCCGCAGAGCCTAGCAGCCAGTATCCCACTGTCGGGGAACTAATGTCCGGAAAGAATGGCTGGGGTTTGGCGCCGGTTTTGAGGGGTTGGGAGATGCGGGCGAATGTGTTTGCTAGGGTCCCCAATGGAGACGGGGGTTTTCCGGGATGGGTGGTGGCTGTGTTACGGCTTGTGTTGGTAAGGGAGAAGTTCCGTGCTCGCGGTAGAATCAATGGGGAAGTTGATTTCGACTTTCCCATTGCCAGCGGGGATCGTGGTAGTCTGAGTATGGCGGTGCGGGAGAGACATGTACGGTAGATGTTGGCTGAGATCCCCCATGGGGTGACGCCCGCTAGAGACATTTGGTTTCTTGCCCAATTTCCCTCTGCCGGATCGGTATTCGAGATTGTTTTTCCCGAGTGTAAAAGGTGACAATGTCGAAAGGATTTACTCACTCAGGGAGTGGTGGGTCAGTAAGACATTCGCACCATGAGTGCTCTCGCGAACTGCAGAGGTGTAAGCGATCCTATCATACGAAGTGTCCTACCGGTATCATAAGTTAGTCTATTAGACGATGGTGGGATGATGATGATCCGAGACCCGCCCTATACCCTGTCATAGCTGACCAATGGGGTGCAATCGGCTCACAACCTTGGGAGCCGCACGCGTCATGGGTCATCACTTGCACTTATCGTTGATTTTCCATTAATCGTTTTCCCAGGGGAGGCAAGAAGCCTTGTCATGTTCTACCGGTACTCGAGTAGTGTGCCCACCGGAGGCGAGTTTCTCGAGTGGATGCACATGCCCCTTGGCCGTTCTCCTCCTTAGGGGAATCTCCCCCGCAGGAGCTGGCGGTGATTCTTTTCTTTTTAGCCATCGAATTCGATTTCCGTCTGGGAAGATGGCTGAGTTAGGGAAAAGAGTGCTAGGGGACTAGGGAGGAGGGGCCTGCATTGGCGTTTGGGAACTCGGGGGGGGCGGGTGTGGTTTTGTATGACACCGATGACACCTGCTAGAGTAAGAACGAGATATCTAAATTCAAGTCCCTCCCCGGGGCTCTTGGGTAAGAACTGAAAATATTGGTAACTCTGGGGCTTTTGTTAGGATGTAAGATAGCAGTGTGAGTTGAATGCAATATAGTATTAAACTGTAAGATAGTATTCCCTGCTTGCACTAGTGAACTAAGAAACAACTTAGGAGAAATTCCTGTTCCTTTATATCCGGGTTCTAGTCATGTGCACAGCCATCCAACCAACTTGAAGGAAATATCTATGTGTTATACATGGTTGCAGGTGTGAGTTACATTGACTCCTATCTGTGACCATACAGGATAAGTGAGTCATTCTAATTTTAACACTTCCTCTACAACTCCATTCCTAACATAACTAGTATCTTCTCAAATAACACTATTATCAATCCTTCTATACATACATTGGCTAAGCTTTCCTTTGTACCAACTTGTCTGACAACTACTTCCCCACTCTCTCATTTCTATTCGAGTCATGTGTAGTGATACCACATGTCGATATATTTTGTTTGATCAGAAACTCCTTAGTTTTCAGTTAACTTTATGGCAGCAGTATTGTCACAGTAAATGATCAGTTTGGTTGATATTCCCATTTGAGACAGTATACAGTTGATCGATATTATTTGTTTCATTACGAAGGTGAATACTCTATATTCTGCTTCGGTAGTTGAGAGGGCTACAGTTATCTGTTTCTTTGAGTGCCATATAACCATGTGTCTATATGTTTGTATTAATAGTCCAGTGAAGGGTTTTCTATCAGATAGGTTTGATATGAAGGAGCTGTCACTTTATACATGAAGTTGTTCTTTGTTCTTTGTTGTCTCATATCATAATACTTTGAACATTGTCCTTTTGATATATCGTAGAACTTGTTTTGCACTTTTGAGATATATTGTAGATGGTTTAGCCCAGAATTGGCTTAGGAAGGCAGTTGCATGAGCAATGTCTGGTCTAGTTATGATTGCTGTGTATATCAGGGATCTAATTATGGATTGATAAAGTCGTTATTAGCTTAGTTCTTCATTTGGTTATACAACCTTTAAAGGTGAGTGTACTTAGATAGGAGTAGCTATTGGTATGGCATCTATTATGTCATAATGTGTTAGCATTTTAGTGATGTAGAACTATTAGAATAGTCATATATAATAGTTTCCCTTTTCAATCTGCATCCCAAGTAGAAGTGAGGCTTCTCCTGAATTGGTGCAGTTGAATTTAGATTGAATTTTGTTGAGGCAGTCTTTCACTTGTATTTGAGTACCAGGATTATAACTATATCATCTACATAGATACAACAGTAGAGGTTTTTAGAGATGAGGATACATGTGTTGAGGACTAATATAGTGAATTTCATATCTGTAACGGGGGCTCCCTCAGGTAGATGGCTCGCAAGGATGCGACCGCACCAAACTTCCAATCTCTCGAACACAGCTCTTGCAAAAGTGTAAAGAATAAAAGTAAACGGTAAAACTTAATATCGTTAAGCTCAGGCTTATCTGAATTAAAGTCTCTCGAGAGGATGTTGATTGTGTCGGGGTAGGAGAGTTCTCGTATAATCTTTAAGTAGTCAGACTTATACCAAAAACTCCCCCATCAGGTTACCCTGACCAACGTGAGTATGCCCTTCTCCGTAAGGGTTGCTCCGGCACCATTACCGTGTCCCCGAAGGGCTATAAGTGTCAGCGCACTCTAGCAGAAATCTCCCATATGCACATCAGTTCCTGCGAGGTGTTTACCAATACACCTGCCGGAGTGAAAACCTCTGCACATCGGCGTCTCGTCAGTGGCTATCTGTCGAGACCCTTAGGAAAGCTAACTAAATGATTCTCTTCCCATATGCTATGACCTATGCAAGCACTCGTAGACATCAGCTGTCCTCTGGCTAAGTTCTATCTTTCTTGATTGCGAACTTAGGGGGTCTACGACGCTCCCCCGGAGAGCTGTGTCGGCGGCGGGACCCATAGGCGCTACCTATGGTCCCTTACCCCCGGCACACCACTCACCGTGATAAGTGTCATGCTATTAGAGTCTTCAAACAACCCACAAAGAGCCTACGGCAAAGGGGCACGTGTAGGCTTGATTGGCGTAAAACCTTCCCAGATGTCTCCGGCACTACCCGGGACTCCTCTGGGGACCCTTCCGGATAGCTCACGCTAACTCCGACAGTTTTGGTCCGTTTTACTCCGTTCTTTTTGGAGAAGGTACCTGACCTTCTCACCTTGGCCCCCTTATATATCCTGCGAACAACTTCCGGTCGGACGGACAGCGACGACGCATACAGTGTTATGGACATGTCTTCCTAGATTCCACTTAACTAGCATAACGGCAACTCCACCCACTTTGGCCCATGACACCCGGGGCGAACCCTGGGGCCGCAGGTACCTGTTAGGAATTATTCTACCCAATTATAGCTTGTTCGGAGCACTATAGCTCCTTCCGTAGTCTTCCGATCAAAGTGCAAACAAGTGCCCGTTGATCATCATTGCGTAACAAACAATCCTAACATTTCCCGCAATTTCTCCAAGAACATTTCCGACGGAAGGTAGGGTAATAGTGTCTCAAAGGTAGGGTAAGTATGTCCATGGTGACACTAAACCAGTCTCCATGGTAGGGTAACGTGACTTCCTTAGGTAGGGTAAACTCACCCGGCCTTCTGACCTACCCATAGGCCAGAGCGGATATTGTCACCTTATTACCACTACTTAGGTACACCTATTCCATAAGTACCTTCTGTTCTTAGAGATTTCCGGACCATCAGATATCTCTTGGATTTGCGCCTGCATATCCGCCTCGTCTACCATCTGACCTTTTGGTCCTATGTATGGGCGTAGACGTAGGTTACCGTAGCTCTATATCATAGGGTCGTTACAATATCAGTGCAGGTACAAGTAAGCCATTAAACCATAGGTAGGGAGATTGCGTTAGTCAGTATATTGCTTTGGTGAGGTTCTATACCTTTCAAGTTCCTGGTTGTTTGTACCCTTCAGGTATGTCGAGATAGGTTTCAACATCAATGTTATTATATAGAAAGGTACTTTTAATGTCTAGTTGTTGTATGGTATATCCTGATTGAATTGATATACTTAGTAGGACTCGCAGGGATTCTAGACAGGCCACCCCTATTTATACTTCTTTGAAGTCACTCCTGGTTGTTGGTTGAATCCTTTAGCGCAGTATCTTGCTTTCTGCTATTCTATAGTTCTGTTTTTATTGACTATTGTCTTGTCAACCTATTTATCTGTTATAGTTCTTCTTCTATGTAGTTTATAGACCACGGTTCCTACTACTTTCTTTCCCAAAATATCTACTTCTTCTACGATAGCCTTGTTCTATTCCTCTTTCTCATTTAAGTCCATTGCTTTTTTATATGACTCCAGATCAGGTATATGGTATATAGGTCCTGCATATTCTGCTGTCTAAAAGAGGTTGTATTTCTTGAATTTTCTCTTGTAGGTCCTGTTGTTCTACTTGAAACTGGAGTTTACAAGTTGGTAGAGTGGTCAGGTCCTCTTCACCATGCATGAATGCTGGCATAAAGGCTTTTAAGTTTCTAAGTTTCTAGTTCAGATTTCAGAGCTTATTTTGTGCAAATTCACATTTTGCTTTTGAAAATATTGGTAACTCTAGAGCTTTTCTTAGAATATAAGATAGTAGTATGAGTTTACCAAAACTATCTCAACTGATTGATCCTATATGCTGAGAACAGGTAACTACTCAACATGCACAATACAAATATGTGACTAATTAAGTAGGAAAAATAAAAATCCAAGCCAGTGGCCATACTGTCCTGAATCCTTCATTATCAAGAAAAACAAACTACCAACATGGTCTTTGCGCAAGGAAAATATTAAATGAAACAGCCAATCTTTTAATCAAAATCTGACCTAGGAAATGTAGCAGGTATAGCAGATGGTAGTAGGGGTGAGGGGGGAGGAGTCGGTGACCGCCATAATCAAGTGGGAGGATAGTTGATGCAGGCAACATGGATGAAAGTAGAGAGGGCCAGAAGTACATCTGCATCTTCCCAGAGGCAGGTATTGAAGTCAAGGAATAGAAGGGCAGGAATGTATTTGTCTTGTAGTAGCTGTGTAGTAGGGTACTGAATAAGTACATACTCCATGTCTTCTTCTGCCTCCTAACATCTTGAGCAGGTGGGGGAGCAGTCAACTGTATCCTAGGAAGGATGAGTGACCAGGTAGCTCTTATGCATCCTCACCTGGTATAGCCAGCCTGTAGCATACCAGTCCAGACCCATGAAGGGATGGTGCTTGAGGGAGGAGAGGAAGAAGTAGTATGGGAGTGTGTTTAGGTTGAAATCCCAATCGTGGAGGGCTAGTA